TTTGGTGTTTTCACGCAAATTCTTCTGCTAGTTGGAGTTTAGTCCACTTGTATATCCTTCCCTTCAAGGCTCAGGGGTCCAGGATTATCTTCTGTGTGTGTGTGTTAATTGGTTTCCCTTTTCTTTGTTGAAGAGGTCTGTGCAGTCTTTCTGCCTATTCTGCCATCTTACCAGAACCATGTTCTTCCCTTTTGGTTTTCTAACTCTAGGTCTTTGCATATTTCATAATAATTTACTTTGTCTTCTTGAGCTGCCTTTTGAAATCTTCTGTTCAGCTCTTTTATTTAATCATTTCTTCCATTTGCTTTAGCTACTCTTCATTCAAGAGCAGTTTTCAGAGTTGTTTCTGACATCCATCTTGGTCTTTTCTTCCTTTCCTGTCTTTTTAATGACCTTTTGCTTCCTTGATGTATGATGTTCTTGATGTCATCCCACAACTCGTCTGGTCTTTGGTCATTGGTGTTCAGTGCATCTAATCTATTCTTCAGATGGTCTCTAAATTCAGGTGGGATATAATCAAGGTCGTATTTTGGTTCTAATGGACTTGTTTAAATTTTCTTCAGCTTCATCTTAAACATACATATGAGCAATTGATGGTCTTTCCCACAGTAGCTCCTGCCTTGTTTTGACTGATGATACTGAACTTCATCCTCTCTTTCTACAGATTTGGTTCCATCGTATTCCATCTGGTAAGGTCCACATTTATAGCCGTTTTTATGTTGTTGACAAAAAGTATTTGCAGTGAATAAGTCACTGGCCTTGAAGAATTCTGTCATGTGATCTCTGGCATCATTTCTGTCACCAAGGCTATATTTTCGAACTACTGAAGCTTCTTTGTTGCCAACTTTCCCATTCCAATCACCAGTAGTTATCAGTACATCTTCATTGCATATTTGATCAATTTCAGACTGCAGAAATTGATAAATTTTTCAATTTCTTCATCTTTGGCCTTAGTGTTCATGTGTAAATTTGAATAATAGTAGCATTAACTGATCTTCTTTGTAGGCGTATGGATATTATCCTATCACTGACAAAATTGTACTTCAGGATAGATCTTGAAATATTCTTTTTGATGATGCATGCAATACCATTCCTCTTCAATTTGTTATTCCTGGCATAGTAGATCATTTGATTGTCTGATTCAAAATGGCCAAAACCAGTTCTTTTCAGCTTGCTAATATCTAGGAGCTCTGGTAGCATAGTGGCTAAAAGCACTTGACTGCTAACCAGAAGGCTGGTGGTTCAAACCCACCAGCCACTCCTCGGAAGGAAGGTTGGGCATTCCTACTTCCGTAGTGATACTGCCTTGGAAACCCAAGGAGGGGTCGCTATGAGTCGGGGCCAACTCGACGGCACATAACAACAAATAACAATGTCTAGGATGTCAATCCTGATGCATTCCATTTCATTTTTGACCACTTCCAATTTTCCTAGTATACTCCAATTATTAATGAATGTTTGCAGCTGTTTATTCTCATATGAGTCATGCCCCATCAGCAAATGAAAGTCCCATAAACTTTATTCCATATCCATATCATCAAGGTCAACTCTACTCTGAGGTGGCAGCTCTTCCCCAGGCGTATTTTGAGTGCCTTCCAACCTGAGGAGCTTATCTTCTGGCACTGTATCAATGTTTCATTGCTATTCATAAAGTTTCCAGTACTGTATCGGACAGTGTTTCGCTGCTATTCATAAGGTTTTCACTGGCCAGTTATTTCAGAGGTGAATAGCCCCATCCTTCTTCCTAGTCTGTCTTAGTGTAGAAGCTCTGCTGAAACTTGCCCACCATGGGTGACCCTGCTAGTGCTTGAAATACCAGTAGCATAGCTTCCAACCTCACAGCAATACACAAGCCACTGTAGTATGACAGACTGACAGGTGGTGGTCTTTACAATATTGTTCATTATAATTTTGATTAGAGCAATACTCAATGTTGAGTGTTTCCATACTATTAACCATGTAGTCAGAGTGAACCACATAGTGTACTATGAAAAAGCATAATGAATTTTGTTTTCCCTACTGGGAGTTAGTAAGTACCTTGCTGTTGTGATTAGCCTGGTTTTCTACATAATACTAATTCAACCCTAATCCTTGAGGGGAACTGGGTAGATGTCCCCTCAAGATATTTAAATATAAGCCCTGCGGTCACTTTACAAGAAAGAGCACTTGTGATCTTGTATGATTGAAAAAAGTATAGATAGATAGATAGATGATAGTTGCTGTCAGGTTGACTCCAGCTCATGGTGACCTTATGTACAACAGAATAAATCATTGCCTGGACCTACATCATCTTCATGATTGCTCCCATGTTCAAGTCCATCTTTAAGGCTATTGTGTCAGTCCATCTCACTGAGGATCTCCCTCACCCTTGTTGGACCTCTACTTCACCAAAATGATATCCTTCTCTAGTGATTGATCCCTCCTAATAACATATCCAAAGCAAACGAGTCAGACAGTGTTCTTCTGTATTATATAAGGTTTTCTTAGGCTAATTTTTGGAAGTAGATCACCAGGCCTTTCTTTCTAGTCTGTCTTAGTTTGGAAGCTCTGTATAAATCTGTCCACCTTGGGTAACCCTGTTGGTATTGGAAATACTGATGCCACAGCTTCCAGCATCATAACAATGTGCAAATCATTACAGTACAACAAACTGACTGATGGGTATTGGGGTCTTTATTCTATACTCCATTTAACTGATAATATGGCAGGGTATAGAATTCTAAGTTTGAAATAATTTTCCCTTCAAATTTTGCAGGAATTAATTGACTTTTAGTTTTTAGAGTTGCCACTGAGAAATCCAATGCCCTACTGGTTCTTGATATTTTGTATGAAGTCTCATTTTCGCCTCTGGAAGCTTAAAGGATCTTCTTTTTGTCTTCAGTGTTCTAAAACTTCAAGATAATGTGGCTTGGCATGAATCAGTTTTCATCTGTTGATCTTAATATTTAGTAGGAAGGAAGGTTGGGCAATCCTACTTCCGTAGTGATACTGCCTCAGAAACCCAAGGAGGGGTCGCTATGAGTCAGGGCCAACTTGACGGCACATAACAACAACAACAACAGGATCCTTCAGTCTATCCTTCAGCATATCCTTCAGTTCTGAGGAATTTTCTTTAATTACTTTTTCAATGATTTCTTCTCTTCAATTTTTTCTGCTCTTTCTTTCTACAACTCCTGTTGGTAGATATTGGATATCCCAGACTGGTCCTCTAAATTCCTTCCCCCCCCCCCCTTCTCCTTTCTGTCTGTCTTTTTGCTCTACTTCTGGCAGAATTTGTCAACTTTATCTTCCAACTCTTCTATTGAGGTTTTTTTTTGTTTTTTTTTTTTTTAATTTCTGCTCTTATACTTTTAAATTTCTAAGAGGTATTTTTTATTCTCTTAATGTTTCTTTCTTAAAACATCATACTTATTTCATGGATGCAGTGTTGTCCTTTATCTCTCTGAGATTTTTAGTAGCAGTTTTTATTCAGATTTATTTTATTACTGCTTTTCATAATGGAAATTTTTCAAAATGCATAAAAGTAGAGAAACTATAGGATGATTCCCCCTGTATTCATTATCCAACCTCAGCAGTAATTGAGATTTTTATGATCTAATCCATATCCATACTTTAAAAATATATAGAGAGATACATATTGCAAATATTTAAATATATATATCTAACAGATAAGAATCTTTCAAAATAAACTAAATAACATGATAGTTTTGTTTTGCTTTTTTGATGACGACTTCTTCCTGCATAGATTTCTCTGCACTCCTTTTCTCCATATGTCTGCTTTGATCTCTAACTTTCATGCCAGATGTTTTCCTCACAGTATGCTGATCTTTGGCACTCTGCTCATATTTAAGAATAAGATACTAAAAAGCTGATTGGAAACTCTGTGTATGTGGATGTACTTATTGGGTGTGATTTTCATGGTAGAGTGACCTAGCAAGGAAACCACTGATGTCACAAATTTTAGGGTTTCTCTCAGGCTGGTCAGATTCCCGGTAGGAAACTATTCCAATCTTGTGTCTGATTATGTGCCTGGGCACCAGCATTCTAGGAACTGAGTTGGGGAGAAAAAATGAGGGAAAAGAGGCCTCAAAATTCAATAAATGAGCTTTTTCATAAACCCTGTGTTTTCAGTAGCGTGCCCTCACCTTCAAAAGTCTGGTATTCCCTGTCCAAAGAATCTTAAGTTTTACTGTCTTTAGAATATAACTTTGCCATCTCTGACCAGGTGGCAAGTAGGGAGGGGTGGTTGCACAGTAGCACCTGGAAGGCAAGGCCTAACTAGTTAAGTAAACTTAGAAAAGATCCTGATTTTTACCCCATTTCCATCCCTTGCTCCCTGCTCTCCCCAGTTCCAAACACCTTCGGGGTGCTGTGATAGAAATAAGATTGCCCCCTGGTTTTCCCCATTGCCAGCTTACCATTCAGCTGTCTTGACTCGACTAAACCAGTTACCATTTGTCCATCTGCTTTTCATTTTCCAAATTGTGTTGCCATTTTCTCCTCTTCTGTTACCTTGGTCCTTGTGTTGTTATTATTTAAGTGTTATTTTTTTTGTTTTGTTTTAGTGTTGTTTATTAATGTTTATTATTCTTTAATGTTGTTTTAGTGCCTCATTTTAGTCTTTAAGTAAGGTTTTGGGAAAGAGCAGGGCTTTTTTTCAGTCTGCCATCTTTAACCAGAAGTCATGGTTTTAAAAGAATATAAATATGATTTTTACTGAGATAACTGAGAGGAAACTAGTGAAGTTGGTTGCTTTTTGTTTTGTTTTTGTTTTAAAACAACAGAAAATCGTCCTTGAATGGGAAATATTGTGTGGAGAAGTGAGATTTGAGATATACTTTGAAGGAGCAGAAATAGGCTTCTGAGAGCACAGCTTAAAATACCACAGTGTCAAAAACTCAGGCTTTTCCCTCACTTTTGACATTCCCTAATCCTAAAGGACTTGCTCCTAGGAACTTAGAAGCTCTGCTAATTAGTGCTTTTGCTTGTTTGTGTTACAGATGGTGCCTTCAGATCAAAGCTCACTTTCCTTCCTGCCTACAGAAGCTCAAACTCAAGTGTCCCCACCACCCCTTTACCCCACCCCCCAGGAGCTCCCGCAGCCTCTCCTCCATCAGTCCCAAGCCCAGGAGTTCCCTCCTCAGCAGCCCCAGACAGCCTCAGCACTACCCCAGTCAGATTTCCAGCTCCTCACGTCCCAGGTAACCCTAGCAGGTGCATTGGTGTCGAGGTGCCCTTATTTTGTGCTGAGTCCCAAGCTAAATGGTCACCTCCTTATTCCCTGAAGGGCTCATCTTTGACCAACTTCTTCCCAGATGTGGGCTTTGACCAACAGTACATGAGGGCAGGCCTGCCTTTTCTTCAGCAGGTATGTGGTCTCAGGGCACAAATGTATGTATTGCCCTTATGCCTTCCTCTTCTTTGGTGCATAAACAGCACCATTTAGGCTGTTCAATGTGTAGAGCCCACAACCAAATAGACTCAATGCTTCAGTTCCCTGATACCAGGTGTGATCTGTGGCCAGGAGTGCTTTGAATCTTCCCTATCCTTAAAGGTGGGTGCTGGCTGCCTTATTTAGTGTCAGGCTTCAGCCAAGAAATTCTTTGAACAAGTGGTAGAAGACTTCTTCCTGATAATCCAGTCATAGAGTTGTAGAATCATTCATTCTGGAGAAGACCATAGGAGTCAATTAATCCATTCCCTTATCTTGAGGAAACTGAGGTGCAGGGAAGGTCAGTGACTTGTCCCAAAGGCTGAGTTAGAAAGTGGCATGGGACTTTGCCTGGAGGCCAAGTAGATAGATCCCCCACAGTGTATGGTCACTTTGGAGAGCTTGGCCCTGAGGGGAATGTGATGTGGGGAAAGGTCTTTTCTTTTGCTTTTAAGTTTTTCCCTATCACTGACCATTTTCAGTATCCCTAGATTTTACAGTGTTCAGTAAGTATGGATTAGACTGCATGATGAATGAAGGATAGAAGGGAGGGTTGTACACTTTCCCAAACCTAATAATAATAAAGGCAGAGATTTCCTAAGTAGGTCATGATGAAGCCTCATAGGTAAGAACCAACAGTCTATCTTATTTTCTGAAAAGGCCATTTTGGTCTAGGTGGGAGTCAGCATCTTCCTGAAAAATGATGGAAGCTCCTTCTTTTGAGACATTTTTCAAACGTCATTTCATGAAAGGTACCTATAGTAGGCCGCAGTTCTAACCAGCCATCATAAAGGCTGTGTCCTAGAGAAAGGGTTGCCCAATGACAGAGTCTGAGGTGCTTCCCCCTGAGTGCAAGAAAGAAAGGGTTCCATTTTCTTGTTTTCCTAGAAACCAAACAGAAGAAGAGCTCATCAGTTCCTTGATTACAGATAAAGCCTTTGAGGGGTGCCCACAGATGGTAGTTTCTAAAAGGGCTCCATGTGGATGAGGAAGAAGGAAGTCTGAGACCCACATAGGGCCTGCAGGATAATTCAGTGGGCTGGGCAGTATATAAGCTAGGACAAACTACCTGCATTGTGGACCTCAGGAACCCCTCCTCACCCAGCATCTGCCCACTGAGAAGATCTGTGTATTTTATCACAACAATAGAATGCTGTTGAATCCTAGAAGTGGGTAGAAGACATTTTTCATGTCTGCTTTGGCTCTGGGAGTGCGTGGCATGACTGGATTCACTTAGTCCTCAGAAGCAGACTTCACTCCTTACAATGTGAACTTTGATGTTTCCAGATGCCCCCGTTACAACAAGGACAACGAGAACCACAGGACTCACTTCATTTGAGGCCAAACACGTATTCCAACTGTGGGAACTTCCCAAACACCATCCTGACAGGTGAGCAGGCATCCCCTGAGCTTTATTTTTTTTTAAATTTATTTATTTTGTTGTTGTTACACACAGCGAAACACACAGCAATTGAACCGTTTCCACATGTACAATCCATTGACACTGATTACATCTTTGAGTTGTGTACTCTTTCTCACCCTCCTTTTCTGAGTTGTTCCTCCCTCATTAACATAAACTCGCTGACCCCTAAGGTTCCTATCTAATCTTTCAAGTTACTCTTTCACTTTGATCCCCTATAGATAGTTCTTTTTTTTCTTTTCTTTTTTTATTAAGGATTTATTTGCCCTTCCTCCTCCTACCCTGGTAGCCATCAAAGAATATTTCATTTTCTGTAAAACCCTTTTCTTGACTTTTTACAATAGTGGTCTCATACAGTTATGAAAATCACCTTTTGTGATTAATTTCACTCAGCATAATGTCCTCCAAGTTCATCCATATTATGTTTTGCAGAATCATTGTTCTTTAACATTGTGTAGTATTCCATTGTGTGTTTGTATCACAGTTTGTTGATCCGTTGGTCTCTTGATGGGCATTTAGGTTGTTTCTATCTTTTTGCTATTGCAAATAGTGCTGCAATGAGTATGGGTGTGCATACATCTGTTCATGTCATGGCTCTTTTTCTCTAGGATATATACCCAGTAGAAGGTTTGCTGGATCATATGGTATTTGTGTTTCCAACTTTTTAAGGAACAGTCATACCATTTTTTGTGGTAGTTGCACCATTTTACAGTTCCACCAGCAGTATATGAGGGTTCTGGTCTTTCCACATCCTTGCCAACATTTGTTGTTTTCTGTTTTTTTGAACTTTGCTGTTAGTGTTAGAGTGAGATGATATCTCATTTTGATTTGCATTTCTGTAATGGCTAATATTATGATGGAGAGCATTTCTTCATGTGTTTCTGTTATCTGCCTGAGTGTCTTCTTTGGTGAAGTGTCTGTTCATGTCTTTGCCCATTTTTCAATTGTATTATTTGTATTTTTGTTGTTAAGGTGTTGAAGTTTTCTATAAATTGATCTCATATAGATAAAAGAGCATAATGTTCAAGCCAGACTTTTTTTTTATTAGTTAAGCTAAACTATTGTTTGGTTTTAAGAAGACTTCAGGGACATTATGCTGAGTGAAATTAGTCAATCACAAAAGGACAAATATTATATGAGGCCAATACTGTAAAAAGTCAAGAAAAGGTTTATACATAGAAAGAAGCATTCTTTGAAGGTTACCAGGGAAGCAGGGGTAAATCACTAACTAGAAAATAGACATGTATTAACTTGAGTGAAAGGAAAGACAATATAAAATAAAGAAGAAAACAAAACAAAATCCTTTGCTATTGAGCCAATTCCAACTCATAGAGACCCCCATTGGGTTTCCAAGGTGACAAATCTTTATGGAAGGAGATTGCCTCTTCTGTGGAGCGGCTGGTGGTTTTGAACCACCAGCCTTCTGGTTAGTAATCAAATGCCTTAGGCACTACACCACCAGAGCTGCTTACAATAAGGAAAAGGTCAACACAAAATGATCAAGGTGAAGGAAGGTACTGGGAGGAGCACAAGAGTTAAAGTCAACAAAGGTAAATATTGTTATATATATTATTATTACAATAGCAGTAATAACAATAATCTATGAGTGGATACATAAGATAGATATACAAGATGAACAGGGATGGGAAGGCAAATGAGATTATACCCATGAATATATAGAGGTTTGACAGAAGATATTTCTACATATGTATTTATATATGCTACAAGTATGAATGTAGTAGAGCATACAGGGGGCAAAGTTATGGAAACTTCTTAGCTGTAATCAAACACCTTGAGGGAATGAGCCGCTGGGCCTGGGTGCTCAGGACCATAGTCTCAGGGGGACACCAAGGTCAGTTGGCATAACATAGTCCACAAAGACAATATTCTACGTCGTACTTTGATGGTAGTGACTTGGGTCTTAAAAGCTTGTGAGCAGCCATCTGAGGTACAACTATTGGTCTTGCCCCATCTGGAGCCAAAGAAGAGTGAAGAAAATCAAAGATTCAAGGAAACAGTTGATCCAAAGGACTAATGACCACATGAACCCCAGCCTCCATAACCATGAGACCAGAAGAACTAGTTGGTGCCCAGCTATCACAACCAACCACTCTGAAAGTGATCACAATAGGAGGTCCTAGGTAAAAGTAGGAGAAAAGTGTGGAACCAAACTCAAAATCATTAAAAAAAAAAAAAAAGTCCAGGTTACTGGACTGATAGAGACTGGCAGAACCCCTGAGACTGTAGCTTTTAGACATCCTTCAACCCTGGAACTAAACTCACTATGGCTTAACTTTCAGCCAAACAATAAAAGGCCACAAGGTGAACAATAACACCAGGGAGGTACACACTCCTTAGAACATTCAACCATACGAGATCAAAAGGGCAGCAATTGCCCAGGGATAAAGCTTAGAAGGCAGGAAGGAATAGGAAAGAGGGCAGTAAACACAGAGAGAAATTGGGAAGAGTGCTGTTACATAATGGGGATTGCAATCAGTGTTACAAAGCAAAATGTGTATAAATTATTGAATAGAAAATCAATTTGCTCTGTAAACTTTCACCTAGATCACAATAAAAAGTTAAAAAAAAAAAAGACTTCAGGGGATATTTTTGGTTTAAGTTTTAAAGATTATCTTAGAGCAATATTTTCAGGGATTCATGTAGCCCCGTATCTCCAGAAAGTCTGAAATCCATGAGAATTTGAAATTCTGTTCTGCATTTTCCCCCTTTTAACCAGGATTCTTCTATAGAATCTTGGATCAAAATGTTCAATAACGGTAGCTGGGTACCATCTAGTTCTTCTGGTCATTTGGCAAAGGAGGCAGTTGTTCATGGAGATAGTTAGCCACAAATTCCATTTCTTCCTTCTGTTCCTTACTCTCCTTTCTCTTTTAATCCAGGCAAATATAAACTGTTGTTGTGCCTTGGATCCATCCCCTCAGCTTCTTTACTGTTTTTATTTCACTGTATGTTTGCAGATACTGTTGTACATTCATTTCATACAACATAATATTATATAAAGCAAAAAGTGAAATCCCCTGGCTCAACTTTATCTTTTTGACATGCAGCTTCCAGGCCCAGAGATGGTGAGGCAGTAAGGAAAGGTGATAAAAGCCTTTGCTAAAATATTCCGTTTAAAACGATTAATGACTGTTTAAAGAAAGAAAATCTGTAAAAATTGAGAGTTATGGAACTGACCAAAAACAGATTCCAAAGAGTAGACAGTACACAGATGATCCCTGTCATGGCTAGGAAGAGAACAAGGATAGCATTCCTTGGGGTTGTCATCAGTTGTGTTCTCTTAGTAGAGGGACTGCTGTGGTTTAGGTAGCCTGAGACCCTCTCACTTCCTGACTCACATTGTTTTCCTCTCTCACTACTCCTTTCAGAAGACTCAAGCACCAGCCTTTTCAAAGACCTCAGCAATGCACTGGCAGGTATGCCCGAGGTCAGCCTGAATGTGGACAGTCCGTTCCCATTGGAAGACGAGCTCCAAATTGAACCCCTGAGCCTAGATGGACTCACCATGCTAAGTGACTCCAGCATGGGTCTGCTGGACCCCTCTGTTGAAGAGTCATTTCGAGCTGACCGACTGTGAACAGAATGGAACAGAATGGGAGCATTTATTTCTAAAACATCCAAAATAGAATGGAATAGAATGGAGCCAGCTATACACCTGGACTTCTGACATGGAACAAACTAATTCCAGTGCTCCGAGCTTCCAGATGAGATCCTGTCTCACCCCCCATGGCTTATTCTAGACCACAGGACTGCTGTGGGGCTTCCACTGAACTTGACAACTCATCTCCGTGACCATTTCACCTTTAGCTGGTTGATGTTTAAAAGTGGGAAACATCATGTACCAGAGGCCTTAGCAGCACTGTGGAGTGCTAAGAACCACTGATCTCCTCTACACTGAAGAAAGGACTTGAATGTAGAGGCAGTGAGGGGCCCCAGAGCTGAGAGCATTGGCTCAGCATCGCACAACGGTACCACAGCCCCACAATGCCTTCACTGATCCAGCCATTGCTGGCTGGAGCCGGGGCATTCCAGGGCGTAGTGAGGAGCCATGGCTCGCTCAGATACTTTAATTCCAGTATGAAGAAGAATTTTTATCACAAGTCCAAAAATAGCCTTGAGTTAGGCAAACCAAATGCTATTTTTTTTTCTCCAAGTTTGTAATCTCTCTTCTGCTGCTTCTGTTCACCTTTTCCTTATGGACCAGAGGAAAAGGTAGACTATTAAGTCACTGAAAAAAAGTCCCTCAGCAACCGATAAGCCTGAAGAGAACCATGCTTTCCTTGTGGCTAAGGAAGAAAGAAGGAAAGAGGGGCTTAGGTGTCTCCAAGACACACAACATCCTCTGGACCAGCACAGCATGCTGCCTACAGACTAGCTGGAGGGAAAAGGCTGCAGGTCTGAATCCAACCCAGCCAGTGCCTGAGCTTCCCATTCACTCCCCAGAGCTCCTTCTCTGTGAATGAGGCGTGTTAATGTACCCTACTAGACTGTCAGCTCTTTGAGGGCAAGACTGTGCCTTATCATCTTTGAATCCATAGAACCTAACAAGTGCCTGGCACAGAGTAGGTGCTGCATCAATGCATGTTGAATGCAAGAGTGAATGAGTGAATGAATGAATGAGTGAATCTGCCTTGCTGTAAGGCAGTCAAATCGTTAGACATGGCCGTTCCCTGCCAAATCTTTAAAGAGCTCTAGCTTTTCTAACAGCCTATGGTTAAGCATGCACTTTAATATGCTTTCAACACTAGGTGACCAAATCCATGGTTAGACTGGGCACCCCATTCTCCTCAAGGTAGAAACTTTGAGTGCCTCCAGAATGCCTGGGCACAGTGAGGCTGCCCAGGTGCTAGGACCTGAGGGATCCTCAGAAAGAAGGATCAGTGGCCCCAAACCTGACCTGGCCTTTCATACAGGGGTGGTGGTAGTCATGCTGTAAGACTTCTGTAAGAGTCCTCAATAACTCTTCTCTCTCAGATCCATAAAGGCATAGTGCCTTTACCCTTGGGCATCACGGCTTTGGTGTTGTGGTACCAGTTTTCTATGTCTGCACAGCAGCCCTGCCCTACAACTGGAGGCCCTCTCAGAATCCACTGGATTTCACTCTAAATTCCTTAAAGTGAGATTCATTCTTTGATGTTGAAGAAATAGTCAATAGTTAAATGAAAATCTAATTCATGAAACCACCACTAGTCATATCATAAAATGGTTTTACCAGATTTCCACCCCATTTGCCTCTGTGGCCACTCCCTCAGCTAACGTGGCTAGACCAGCCCGAATGGGAAACCTGACAGGTAGGTTTGAAGGGGACAGAGGGGAACAAACCCTCACCACAGTGAAGGGGTGTGGGCAACAGGCATGGGAGGAGGACACGGGAAGACAGCTGGGGGCCAGAGGAGCTCTGCTGCCACCATGGTTAAAGCAGTGGGCTGCTAACCATAAGGTTGGCAGTTTGAACCCATGGAAGAAAGATGAGGCAGTCTGCTTTCATAAAGATTTACAGCCTTGGAAACCCTATGGGGCAGTTCTGCTCTGTCCTATAGGGTCACTGTAAGTTGGAATTGACCCCATGGCAGTGGGTTTAGTTTTGGGTTTTAGTCCTTCAGGGTGAGAAGTCTCACAAGATCCTTGGTTGGTTAGCCTCTCCAGACTACATCCTGTTTCTCGGCTATCTTCAGAGGGGATCCAGCTGTGCCTGTGATACTTAAGATAACCCTGGTGGTGGGCTGTTCCACCTTCCTCAGGGACCCAGGTATCTCTGGTTCACATCAGCTCAAATCCCAACCTTTGGGTCAGGAAACCAAATCAGACTCCGCCTTGCCTAGCCTCTGGCTCAGGAAGGGCCCGTGGCCTCCCTTTCCCAGTCCTTATTCCCAGTTAGACTTTAAGATCCTTTTATACTTAGATCTCAGGGCAGGGTTACTTTTTGTTAAAGGAGAAGCCTTTCATTGTAACTCGGTACCCAGCTCACCAGTATGCCTAAAGAAGCCCTCCTTGCTGCTCTCCTGCCAGTGGCCCCCAAACCTGACCTGGCCTTTCACACAGGGGTGGTGGTACTCATGCTGTAAGACTTCTGTGTTTTGAAAAAAGGAGGTCCCAGGAGATCCACCCTCGGCATAGTGCCTTTACCCTTGGGCAACACAGCCTTGGTGTTGGGGTACCAGCTTTCTGTGTCTTTGCAACAGCCCTGCCCTATAGCTAGAGACTCTCACCTGCCCAGTGAGGATCAAATGGCCCCCTAGGACACTGTGCAGGAGACTCACAGAAATGAGACTCCCAAGAGAAGCTCTTTATTCAAGGGTGTATAATGATGACAATGCATTTAGCACTGAATTAAATTTGTCCTTAGGCCCATCAGTCAGATCTTCTCATTGGAAGGTTTTGGGCATTATACCAACCACTTTGCATAGATGATTTCGGGGACACATCCATGGACAGGTGCCGCACTTGCCCTTCATGGGGTCAGCCTATACTCGCCACCACCTCTGCAGCAAACTATGATGGTCCTTGGCACTTGAAGTAACTACTTTACTTCAAAAGAAACAATTTCAGTGTATTTAATCCTGTCACAAGAAATCAAGTCTTGTACTATTCTCTTTTGTTAGCAATTACAGCATGAAACTAAAAACTTACCTGTTTTTCCGTTTTTTTCCTGCTGTATGGTTGTGGTGTTCAGCACATATGGTATAAGGAGAAAATTTTCTTGATCATGTCAAAATCAACATAAATTTGCCTTTGTCCTGTTTTGTTTCTCCTAAGTCTACTGTATATCACCTGAGGCTAACGTTGCATATTCAAGGTCATCTGCATGTTTGAAGACGTTTCCAGTTGGTTCTTCTGATTTATGCTCAGATGGTTCCAAGTCCATTTCCATGCTTTGCAGATGGGACCATCACAGCAACTAATCAGACTTCCCACCAGTGTCCTAACTCCCAAGTCCTCTTGTAAACAATATTTAAGGATCAGAATTTGTATAAAGTAGCTTCCAAGTTTTATAAAGCATCATTTTACATCTTTCGTAATTAAAAGTTGCACAACATTGTTGTGTCTGCGTCTGATGTTTTCTTCAACCCCTATAGGTGAAATGAATTGGTAAAGTCTTTCTCTTGCCTCCTACATGGCTCCTGCACTTCTGGATTTCTGGCCCTGGGCTAGGCAGGTCAAGAGTTCTTATTATACACTCAACCCCTTAGAGAGGTTTAGAAAGAAGTTGTTGTTGTTGTTACATGCCATCAAGTTGGACCCGACTCATAGCGACCCCTTCCTTGGGTTTCCAAGGCGGTATCACTATGGAGGTAGATTGCCCCATCTTCCTTCCAAGAGTGGCTGGTGGGTTTGAACTGCCAGCCTTCTGGTTAGCAGTCAAGTCCCTTCAGCAGTATGCTACCAGAGCTCCCTCAGAAAGAAGTAGGGGCATGCAATTCCTTTGAAACTCTAAGTACTAAGGACAGAGGGCATCCTGGAAGTCGCTCTATTTTGCCTCCCACGACCAGCACACCCCTTCCAGACCCTTGTTCCTGCCCTCACCTAATGCCCCTTCTGGAGAGGAGAGGTTCAGGCAACTTAAGCCACTTCCGCCCCCAGCTGCTCCACTGCCGTGTATGGACCTTCAGGCCTCTTCCCCTCTTTCCTCAAGACTTTGGCACAGGCTCTGTTTCTACACCCCCACCTCCCTCCAATGGCCCAACAGGGTTTACACATTGTAGCCAACAGCCCACAGCCATTGCCTCCTTCAGAAACCACTTCCTCAGACACACTCAGGGCTTGTCAGAAAGGTAACTATGAAATCTTACTCAGAAATCCTATCTTCAAGTTCCTGAGACACTGTTTCTCTCAGGCTACCCATCCCCTGCCAGCCTCCCTTCCTTCCTTCTTGATCTGCTCCACTGGGTTGGTTAGTGCCCTCCCTCCAGCCCCCAGCTCGATCCCCGGGCCTTCCACCACACTTGGACCCCCACAACTCAAAATGAGCTTCAGCTTTTCCACTGCCAGAAAAAAATGAATAATCCCAATCCTCTCCCACCTCCCAGGACATTTCCAGGCCTCCTCTCCTGAAGGCCCTCACCTGGCTTCAGCCTGCTCTCTTCTCACATCCAAAAATTCCAAGCAATAGTCTCCTTTCTGACTCCTCCTAATATGCCCCGCTAGGCAGCCTCTGCTACACTGGAAGAGATCCATATTTGTGCCCATTCCAAAGAAAGGTGATCCCACAGAATGTGGAAATTATAGAACAATATCATTAATATCGCATGCACATAAGATCTTACTGAAGATAATTCAAAAATGGTTGCAGCAGTATATTGACAGAGAACTTCCAGAGGTGCAAGCTGGATTCAGAAGA